TCATAAAAGTGCCGTTAGTATTCAAAGATAAAACTATCAAATTCAAGTCAAAACAACTTGTTTCAACTTGACGCACCCATCGCTATTCAATTATTCAAATTATGCGAAAACGCGACTTCCGCTATTAGTTCTTAACTACACGTATCGTCCTTTATAAATTTAAAGTTAGTTACCCCAAAAGACTTATTATCTCTGACCAATTAATTATGGAAATAATTTTGTATATTCCGTTCGTGATACCGCGCATGAAATAACTTTTACGAATACATTAAAATTTGCCTGACTTACCATCTACTCGACTAAGACGAACAGGAAACTTACCTGCAACAAATGAAAATGAAATTAGCTATGTTGAAATCATAAATAATTATATGTAGCATATGATTTAGATAAAACAAATTAAAATAAAGTAATATTTCAGTTATAATTTATGATATGTTTAGTTTCATATTAAAAAAATCTACTTCAATATGGATATACTTCCTGTATTCTTTATATCAATAAGTATGTTCTATTTCAAAATATTAGGTAGGTGCAGTGGTCCTATTTTATTTATTTTTTATTTTTTTTGAAGCGTTAGAATTTTGCATCAGATCAAAATATGAATAATGAAAAGCTATCAAAAGAGGTAGAACTTTTTAAATCAAACATCCTATATATTTTTACAAAGTTGTATATAATGTTTTCTTAAGATTACAGTGACATAAGGTTTAAAGAGTACATTTATCTCTAATGTAATGGAAGATATTTACCTTACTTAAAAGAGGCAAACTCATCAGACCTTATGTCACTGTGCTCGTAAGAATCTAATATTATACAGTGTACAGTAATACCAGGTGATTTTTTAAACCTGAAACTTTCAAATATCTCAATCAAAATATTATTCCACGAAAAGAATGCATTAAGGCCCTCCTGGTTACGGCTATAAGTACGTGAAATATGTCTGAAACATTTTTTTTTTCGATTCATGACATATGGAGCTGTAATCGACGAAAGTCAATTTTTTCAATTTCTCCCACAGAGAACCTATGCATAGGATTCTGTAATACGTTTGCAATAAAAAATACCACGTTTTCACTGTAAATAACCAATATTAGCCTTAAAAAAAATTGTATTTCCCAAATTTTCAATTACTACAATATGACTTATGAACAGGCGTCTTTTTGGGATATTTGCTCAACGCGATTACATTCTCTTTCCACCATTTACTCGAAATTTGCAAACTTTTAACCATGAATTTCGAGTAATTACATAAAATGTGGTATTTTTTGTTGCAAGCATATTGCAGAATCGTATGCATTGGTTCTCAATAGGAGAAACTGAAAAAAAATTAGTTTCGTCGATTACAATGTCATCAAGAAACGAATAAAATGTATCAGACAATTCCTACGTACCTACTTCTAGCCGTAGAATCATTAGTATTTCCAAAAATAACAACTATAAGGTAAATGCGATACTTATATAGCGAAATACACTGATGGTTTGCCGCCATTACTGAAAAACGGAAGAAGCAAATAGGATATTTATGACATAATGATATAAATATTTGACTTGTCAGTTTCTATTTGCTTTTTCGTTTTCCTGTAATGCCGCGCAATGACAAAGTCTGTTATAAATACAATATCTGAATACATTTTTTTATCTTTCCACTTTCCTCAAAGTGATATTCTTTTATAAACTATGAGGACATTAAGAAACTATTTATATTTGGTAATAGACTGGAGCTAATATAATAATGATGAAACACTTCAACATAATGCCTCTACATCCCGAGTGTTCAGCAAATAATTATTACAATATTTAATAGACACCAGTTAATTCAAACTATGATATGTGATAAAATTTATTAAACCTACAAATTCGAACCGATAATTATTTACCGAGCACATAAAAAACTTGTGTGGTGGGTGGCATTTCTAAAACAGGTAATCGACAATGCCGCTTTCACCATAAACAGTAATGAGCGCTATTTTCCCAGTACATATCCTTTCATTGTTTTTATGAAGACGAAGGACGGCAGCGCAAACGGTGATTTTTTTCATCCTTAATTTTCTGAAAATTCCACTACTACAATCTCTTGGAAATAAGGTAATGTTTCATAAAATTATTATGACAGCCATTTTGTTAAAACAGTGTTGTTGTTGTTGAAGTTGACTTAAATTAATATCATGACGTTATTTTAGTAATACTAGAAATTACCAAAATTAACAATTTTCAAGAGTTACGGTGAAAATATTGATATAATAGGAGTTTTGCAACTTTATTTATTTACTTTAAGGTACGCCACTCGATACTGACGATATTTTGCAATTGCTTTTACATTTTCTAATTAGGTAGTTTATGACATCAGAATAGAGAGAAATTACTACTTGTTATCTAGAATAATGCTATCTGGAAATATCCAATATAACTATCCAGTAGGTTAGTACCCGCGGTCGCCTAAAATAATTTATGGGGAGTCCAAAAGCAATGAGATTTTCATTTGTAAATTCAGAGACTTCAAAATCGGAAGTATTGTAGAAGTGGTCGCTTGACACAGGTGATCACTAACAGAGGTTTTACTGTACGAATAGTACACCCACGCAGATTTTGAAAAATTATTTTCATCTCTCTGACAACCCATAACTGATTTACTTTCGTGTTTACAAAAAAAATTGTGAAATTTTAGAAAATTTTGTATTTCAAAAAAGTACTTAAGACATACAACTTGCCGTTTGAAGACATCAAAATTTGTTTTACATTTGTACATTTTTAGATACTTGGAGATAACGCTTTGTCAGGTATGAGGTTTTGCACTATAAACTCATCCTTCTGTAAATCAAATTCATCTTGTTGAAACCAAAGCACACGTATAATGTAGATATATACGGAAAACAGACCTTTTTAATGAGCTTTTCGAAAGTCTGAGTAAGTATTTCGCATCTTTTAACACTGGTCTGTATCTGCATTAGAAAAATTGACACATACATATCTCAGGCTCATTCGAAAAAGTCTATTGGATCATATGGTGAAAAATGATTGTTTCAAGTGAATATCTCTTTTAGTCCCATTAGAGTGAACTTGATTTGCAACAGATTGAATTTGATTTATAAAAGGGCGAGCAAAAGGTAGAAATGTTATAATAAAACAGGTGAATATAATTTGCAAAAAGTTGAATTTGAAGCACAAAACCTGTACCTACTACTATTGGAGATCGACCAACAAGCCTTGTGTCACTGTAATCGTAAAGAAAATATTTATTCAAATATGTAACAATGGGGTGTTCTACTTGACAAACACAAGTTGGTATGTATCTTCAAAATGCACGATTAAACAATTAATTAAAATGAAATCACAAGATCTCTTGTTAATAAATTAACACAAAAAAATACATGATCTAAGGAGCGAAGATGAAACAAAACGTAACATACTGATGAAAACTGAAATGAAATCACTACTGAATTTATAATGCCCAATGTAAGACAAATTAATGATGTACAAGATTTCAAGATTTTTCACCAAGACTTAGATCAAATTATTTCAAACGGATTATCTGTTGTCTTTAAGATTTCAAACAAAATGTATCAAACAGTAAAATAAAAATATTCTTTGTCCAATTCTATCGTATTAATAGAGAAATTCCAATTTAAAAAACACCTTGTATACGACTGAAAACCCTGCATAACTCTATAATGGAAAATAGATTTTTGTTACGCAAATTCTAGATGGCACAGGAATCAAAAGAAATTTTCTTCGCAACAGCTTAAAAAATAATTTTATCACATCATCCGTAAATTTTAAGTAAATATGCCCCATAAATTTCGAAAATTGAATTGTTTTTCTGTTTTGTGCCAAAAATCAAGCTGAAAGAAGCACACAATTAGCACACTATAACACACACCTTAAGAAGTTAATGTTTCGAAAATCAATATGTTTTCGCCTTCAGAACTGAACATGAAGTTCTTAATTAGTTTTGAACTATTGAACTTAGATCTTTGTTGGTCACAAATATTAAAAAAAAAAGTAATAACAGAATAAACATCATAAATGATATCTAACTATGGAAGCGGAAAAACAAACAATAATTAAACTGTCAAACTTAATTAAAAAGGACACGACATTCTCAGTATTTTTGAAATATTAATATATTGAAGTGCGTGATAAATTGATGTTTTTTTACGTCAGATTTTTTAATGTGAGATTTTTGGTCGAGCAAGACTAGTTTCACAAAAGTAACCTCTGTCCGATCTTTTTGGTGCACGGGTTATTTCATGATTCCTTTCATAAGTCGCAAAAAAAAACAAAAAATAAAGAAAAGTTTAAAACTATGCCACGAACAAGTAAGCTCAGGCAATAACACATAATTTTAAAAACTTAAAAATGAATTGAATTACTGTTTCGAACAATGAAACTAAACTAAAATGAGATCATGAGATCAGTATACTGTGATGGCAGTGTTCACATGAAAACAGTGTCCTGCAAATATACTAGATACTGATATTCCTATAATCATTATTATTGAACATTTTGTGAGGGAACCGTATAAAAGAATGGCGGAGCCTGGTTTCACATGCGTATATCGAGTGGCCGCGGAAAAAAGCTATATTAAAATGGCATTAAATTCGAGGCGGGCCAAAAATTCCAGTTTACCGGCCAAAATTATAGCGTCCAGCGGAGGCATAACTGTCGATAAACGTACACATCGAGTTTGATTTCAATACCACCGAAATAAATTTCACAAAACGAAGCCAGATAACATAAAAACCATCGGATTCCTGCAATCGCATAAAATTGTGCGCTGCTGCTATCATCGTTTCGTTAAAAATGAGCAGCAGAAACAATAGCACGTGCCGACTCCATATTTTTTGTTTCTTTCAGCGGGTCTCCTCCAAAGCCCGGTAGCCAGTATTTTGCAACAATACACGACCCATATATGGTACCCTGTCCATGTAAGGCTTACAGGCGGTCACTCGGCTCCCATCGACGACCACCGACTCTGACTCATGGCTCCGCGGCCAAGCAGTTCTTCCACGACAGCCGTAACTATGTGACCCTCTCGAAGCCCCGAAGAACTGCTGGTGCGCCGCGCGGCAAATGGTGAGTACAGGCCACTTTTTTACCTCTTACGGAAATATTTTCCGCGTTTTTCCCCCAGAATACCCCAGAACACCTTTCAAAAAACTTAAATTACCAAAAAATACCGGGGTTCCAAATCAATTTTTCGTTCAATCGCCCGCATTTACAAATTTTTTGAACCGCGTTTCGCAACTCCAACACCAAGCAACAGGTTATAAAATATGTGTGTTTCGGTAACGACGCATAAACAAAAGGCTTTGTTAACAATTTCTCGGCGGGCATTTCGCCAATATTTTCGCGTTGACCCGGAATTGAGCGGTTTGCAGGCGAAAATACAAACATGTGATTCACTGTTTCAGCGAGCGACGACCCGTGGGCATCTGGTGCGAATCCGGCCCGTCCCGACGACGTCGCGCCGAATATCCCGCCCGTGGCGTCGCACGGCGGCGTCCTCCTCCGGAAACGACGCCCTGAAGAGGTCGCCGGCGCCCTGGGGTGGACACCAACCCCGGCAGGGGGTGAAAAGCGAACAGGTGCGTTCTACCGGCCCCCCACTCCACGTCATTCAACAAGTCGGTCAGCGCCGGAGTCGATGTCGAAAATCTCAGCGGACTGATTCAAAGGTATCGTATATCATTTTGATATGTGTTTATCGTTACGCTCTTACTGTGTCTCATTTTTCGATAAGAATCATATTTCTTAATTTTACGTTTATGATTATTGCTATTTTCATTTGTCGTCGCTTGCCACAGACACCTGTACTTAAGTTATTTGCAGAATGAGACATAGGAGATAAGTAATAAATATTTAGTGTAAGTAATTCATATAGGTTTATGGTATTCAGACTTTTAATACACCAAAAAATTGCAATGACACCACAAACTGAAAATTATAAATACGTATGTAATTTTGAAACAGCAGAACAGTATTTCCAACTTTTAAAAAAATTATCAACATAATTTAAAAAAATACAAAAATCAGAAACATTAATTCTCATTTATAATAACGTTATTTTATATTGTTAATTTGAAAAATTATATTGCGCAAACAGAGCCCCTTTACCCAAAAATGCAAACAAATATACTTTTTTAAATTTTTTATATGAAAATTCACACAACTGTTAATTATTATATCAGTTATAAAACGTAATAGCTAAAATTTTGTGCAGATTGTCGAACTCGCAAGAAATATTTTGCCGTCGGTGAGAGATGTACCTATGTAGATACTTTTTTAATTCTGAATGGAACAATAAACTTTTTTAACATAAATGTTAATGTTAAAATATATAAATAATTAAATCTTTTGCATTCAATGGGTTTACAGAAAATAAATTAAAAAGAAAACATTCAAATTTATTATATTATTCTATAACAAGTGTAACTGAACATTAAATATTGGACTGGTGATTGTTACATTTTCTATTTTTTTTTTCTGGATTAGGTCAGGAAGTATAACTAAAAAACTACGGTTATCATTTTTCTCGGCGTTTTATCAGTTTTATTACCATATCTTCAAGACTATGTGATTAGTTTTATAAGTAAAAAAACTATAATTGTAAATATGTATGTTTAAATACACTTCTGCAAAAAATTAAGGGAGCAAAAAAATTTTTCGAATTTTTAGTGATTTTTCAGAATGCTGTATCTCAGTTAAAAATGATCGTATCAAGGTTTTAAAAAAAGCATTTTAAAGCGCCGAATGTCTAGTTTCCAGATTTCTTAGCTCAAAGTTTTTAGGAGCGATAATCGTCGCGAAATTCTAAGAAATAAGACTAAAAAAATTTTTTTCAATTTTTTGCGTTTTTTTCTCGGTCCACGGGCTTGGAAAAATTTTTTACACAAAAATCATGATATGGACTTGATAGCCTGTTCATTCAGCTTTAATTTCTTTTTTTAATTTTTTCTCTACGTTAATTTGACCCGGAGATATTCGACTACGAATACAAAAGCATCCTTTTGGCTTTAACCATCGATATCTTAGCAACTAATGATCAGACAGAGAATTGACGAGCAGTTTCGAAATCTCGAATAAATTCCCTACAAGGCTATGTAGCGTCCTTGGAAAAAAAATTTTCTTTCATCCTCGACATTAACTTGAAAAAAAGTGAAAAAAGTGACTTTTTGACTGGTTTTGTTAAGTCGACCGCATCTTTGCTAATATCGATGTAGAGTCTAGTGCTTGTACGAATTTTTACACCTCGATGTACCCCCAAAAGCTCCGTAAATGGGCAGATCGATCTATCGAACGGTTTTGCCGGACCGCTTAATCAAAATTTCAAAATAATTTAAAGGAGCAAAATTTACATTTCTGAGCACCCTGTAACGTTCGTAAAAATGAAAAATTTGATTTTTTTTCAATTCTTTCACAATTGGGCATTTTTTGCTCATATCATATCATGATTTTTGTGTAAAAAAAATTTCCAAGCCCGTGGACCGAGAAAAAAAACAAAAAATTGAAAAAAAATTTTGTTAGTCTTATTTCTTAGAATTTCGCGATGACTATCGCTCCTAAAAATTTTGAACTAAGAAATCTGGGAACTAGTCATTCGGCGCTTTAAAATGCTTTTTTTAAAACCTAGATACGATCATTTTTAACTGAGATACAGCATTCTGAAAAATCACTAATAATTCGAAAAATTTTTTGCTCCCTTAATTTTTTGCAGAAGTATATATAATTGAGATAAATATTTTCTATTTTAACGATTTCATCTCAATTTTATATATATATATGTCCTTCTGTACCTACAATTACAATTTTTTTACTTATAAAGCCGAACACCTAACATTGACAAAGCCTAATAGTATTTTTTCCCCGACCTAATCCAGATAAAAAATGACAAACAAATTTAACTATTGCCAGTATGTTTAAACATATTCCAATTTTTACATTTTTTTTTTTTAAATTCAATAGCTATGATATTGTCTGAAGTTGTTCATTTGTGGAATAGTTATAGGTTTTTCTGTATGTACTGTTTGTTTTTATGAAATCAATTTTACCTACCAAAAATATTACTGTCATCACTGTATCATTTCATTGAGTTTGCGTTTAATTTTTTATGTGACATATATTTAAAAAAAGAAATGTAATGAAATTAGATCAATTTTCGAAACAGATACTAAGTAAAGTGTAAAATAATTTCATAAAAACAACCCTTGACTAATCCTTTTGACACAAGAGTTTGTTCAATTAATTTTTGTTTTTATATACTCAAATAAACAGAGAAGGCAATGGAATATGTGAAAATTTTGTAGGAAACCAAATAAAAAGAAATACCACTACTGTAAACATCTTAAATTTTTTTTTATTTGAAATTAACGACGGGAAAAAATTGCATGAGTAATAAAAGAGAAAAGAACAATACTTTATTAAATTCGGTTTTATTGTGAATTATTTTTACTTTTAATTATAAAAGCTTCATAATTAAACTTTTACCACTTTATAATTGGCAACAGACCGTAATTAAATTTTCTTTTTTTCCATTCCTAAGCAAAAAGCGTTGTTAGAAGTACCTTTAACGTATTTTGCCGCTGCGACGTTCCGACGGATTTGTAGATAATTAATTCTGATAACATCTAGGGCGCAAAAGAATAAATAAATGTATATTAATTTTTAAAAACTTTGGACAAAATTGAAACTTTTTCTCAACAAAAAAAATTAAAATTTGAAATAAAAATTCTCTCATTTCTCTTCAAATGTATTTTATTTTAATATTTGAACTCAATTTCATCTAAAATAAAGTTTCCGCAATCGCAAACGCTATAAAACTCTAAGTATTCAAATAGTTTCTTAAAACCAAAATCAAAAAAATTGTTTGGTCATTGCACTTTAAGTTTTTGAGTACCAAAATATGATTTACAATGTTCTTTTATACATATTTTTATTATTTTCTCTTTTACGACAGTATGGTGTTTAAAATTTATAAATGCTACAACGAAGAGCAAACCTAACACGGTTAAATTAAAATTAAATTTTTTTCTTATAACTCAGAAAACCTATCGTTTGAAATATATACAGGGTGTGCCACTTAATGTTCCCACTGCCGTTTCCTCCGAAGCTAAAATATATATTTTAAATCGTGACTAGGCATAGGCGGAGAATAGTAAGGGGTCCAATGTAGCATACAGCAAATATTATTCTTTATCTTCATATTTGTAGATGGTGTTGTTATGAAAAGAAATGTATTAATTCCTGAAACAAAGAAGTTAGGTGTATTCGGAGAATTAAATTTTGTATAATTTTTTCTCTATTCGCTTAATTAGTTGTCAGATTTTTTTCAATTTAATTTATTGTTTCCTATACATGATAACACTTTATATATATTTTTAAATGCATCTCTTTGATTGATTTTTATTTGAAATATGTTTCATAGTTAGATAAGTATTAGAGGCATTAGTCGTTCTGGTTTAATCGAACTAAGAAAAGTGTAAAATTTAAAAAAACTTTTTTTACTCTTTTTAAACTCGAGAACTTAGAAATCAAATAAATATAAGAAATGGATCTTTCAAAGCAATCTAACAGATAACAGTAATTTTTACGAACCATGTTGCCAAATTGTTTGGAAGGAGTTTCTGCCTAATAATTAGTTTATTTCTACATCTTTATTAAAATCTTTTGAAATCACACTTCCGATTAAACTAGAAGGTGCATTACAATATAATTAATATTCTTTAATAGTGTCTATATAACTATGGAAAATGCTTCAAATAAAAATATATCAATAACTTTTGTTTAGAAGTTAAAAGTTATTATTGGCAGGAAATAATGAACAAAACCAACAGCGGTTTGTTGCGTTTTAAGGAGCAAGTGAAGACAAGAAAAATGTCCAAAATTTAATTCTCTATTTCTATACCATGCACCCAATTTTTTGTTTGTTTCAGGGATAGAATATTTACAAATATAAAAGAAAACATTTTTACGCCGAATTTAACTCTATCTTTGCCATGTTTAACAGCTGTTTAAAATGTGGTTTAATTTTTAACTAAACTACCTACCAGTGGGAAAACGGCGCCCTCTATATATTTTCTTTAAGAAGAATTTCTGTTTTCGAATGGGCTCGTAGAAAACAAAAGAGAACAGATTCATCTTTTTCCATACGAAATACTTGTTCTTTTTTCACAAATGTATACAGATTTTGATACATATGTACAAACATGTTTTTTTGTTTTTTTATTATTGAAGCATTTTACAGGACAGTAATACATAATTACGAAAAAACTAATTAAACTAACGCTTGCGTCGGCCTAGATTTACAGACACATTCAATTTTAAAGCAAACAATGTTCTTTGATAAAAATATTTTTATTACTTAACATTAGCATACAGTTTACACAAAATGAATATAAACTACAAATTGAAATCGTTATTTTTCTTACAGAATGTTGTTTAAAAAACCATTTGACTACTTTAAGATATGTAATTAACTGGCAGTAAAAGAGTAGAGGTTTATTTAAAATTTAAAAAAATTATATACAAATCAGTTAGGCCAGTAAGGCACCTTTATGTAAACTATTTCAAACTTGAACTTAAATATCGTTAAGAAATGTTTCGAAAGTTTAGTGAAAAACACATCACTGAGATAATCAAATAAGAATTAGAATAATCAATGAAGTGAGAAGTTTTGTAA